GCAAGAGTTTGACTTTGCTGCAGTTCCCCTCGCAGCAGCAGCAGCAGCAGCAGCAGCAGCAGCGGAGGCAGCAGCGGCAGCCTGCTTCGCTGCTGAACAAACTGTCGCTTTCTTTTGCAGAACGCGAAGAGTCTTCTGGGTCTTTGCATGCAGCGTGGCGGCGGCACAACAACGGCAGCAGCAGCCACCAGCAGCAGCAGCAGCAGCAGCAGCAGCAAAAGTGGAGCAGCTTCCGCAGCAGATCTAATGCTTCTGCTCATGAAGAAAACTCCTTCAGCTCTTTTAGCCAAACTTCATTTGGGCCTTTGGGCCTCAGCAGAAAGTCTGCGCCAGTGCCCTACAAGTTGCTGCTGCAGCAGCAGCAGCAGCAGCAGCAGCAGCTGTTCCTGCAGCAAGCCAGGTGGCAGCAGCAGGAACGAGAAGACTCTTTTGCTGCTGCTGAAAATAGCCTTCAGGGACTCACGATGCAGCAGCTCGCGAGAAGGAGACAAACTGACAACGTGAAGCAGCAGCAGCTGCAGCAGCAGCAGCAGCAAAGGCAGCTGCAGCAGCAGCAGGACCTGCAGCAAAAGGTCAAGAAACAAAAGAAGAAAACTCAAGACTCGCAGGGCGACCCGCTGCAGCAGCAGGACCAACAGCCGGAGCAGCAGCAGCAGCAAAAGTCGAAGCACCGCAAGCAGCAGCAGCAGGACCAGCAGCAGGAAGAGCAGCAGCAAGAACACGAGCAGCAAAAGGAGCAGCGGCAAAAACAGAAGCAACACAAAAGCCAGCAGCAAGAGCTGCAGCAGGAGCAGCAGCAGCAGCAAAACCCAGAAGACCCGGAGGAGCAGCGCCGGCAGCGGCGCCACACAAAGAAGCTGCAGCAGCAGCACCAGCAGCAACAGCACCAGCAGCAGCAAGAGGCGCAGCAGCAACAGCAGGAGCAGCAACAACAGCGACAAGATACGGGACAGACAACACAGCAGCAGCAGGAGGAGCAGCAGCAGGAGCAGCAGCAGGGACAACAACAAGAAGGTGAGCAAATCAGCAGCACCGAAGAAGCAGCAGCAGCTGCTGCTGCTCCCAACAGCTCCGTGGCCGAGCCCAAAGAAGCAGCAGCGGCAGCAACTGCAGCAGCAACTGCAGCAGCAGCAGCAACAGAAAGCGCAGCAGCCACGGCAACAGCCGCAACAAGAACACCAGCAGCAGCAGAAGCACCGCCAGCACCAGAGGAGGCAGCGGCACCGGCAGCCGCTGCAGCAACAGCAGCAGCAGCAGCAGCGGCAGCAGCAGCAGAAGGAGCAACAGCACCAGCAGCAGAAGGAGCACCAGCAACAGGAGCGCCACCAGCACCAGCAGCAGAAGCGTCAGCAGCAGCAGCAACAGCGCCGGCAGCAGCAGCTGGAGAGGCGCCAGCAGCAGCAGCAACAGCAGCAGCAGCAGCAACAGCAGCAAAAGATCTGCCGCCACAAGATTCTGTTATTCAAGCTTTAGCAGAAGCACAAGCAGAGCTGCAGTCGCTGCAGACAGATAAGGCGCATGCAGCTGCGTCCCCAGCAGCAGCAGCAGCAGCAACAGCAGCAGGAACAGAAAGAACAGCTGCAACAGCAGAAACAGCCGCACCGGCAACAGCGGCTGCAACATCAGCAGCAGAAAAGACGGAAGCAGCAGCTGCTGCTGCTGCTTTAGATGAAGCAGCAAATGCCCAAAGTGAGCAGCAGCAAGATGAAAGGGCACAGCAGCAGCAACAACAACCGCAGCAACAGCAGCAGCAGCAACAGCAAAAACAGCAGCAGCAGCAAAAGCCGCAGCAACAGCAACAACAACAGCAGCAGCAGCAACAGCCGCAGCAGCAGCAACAGCCGCAGCAGCAACAACAGCCGCAGCAGCAACAAGAACAGCAGCAAGAACAGCAGCAAGAACAGCAGCAAGAACAGCAGCAAGAACAGCAGCAAGAACAGCAGCAAGAACAGCAGCAAGAACAGCAGCAAGAACAGCCGCAGCAACAGCCGCAGCAAAAACAGCAGCAACAACAGCAGCAACAACAACAACAACAGCAACAGCAGCAGCAGCAGCAACAACAACCACAACAGCAGCAGCAACAACAGCAGCAGCAGCAACAACAGCAGCAGCGACAGCAGGAGCAACAGCA